GGGCCAGCACAGCATGCCAGGGATGGAACCCAGTCCCTGCATCTGCCTAAGCAGATGCTGAGTCTGCCGAGCTATCTGGCTGGTCCTATTTGGTTATTTTTAAGTAGGGCATGATGACATTGTTGCCCCATTATGTTAGTATCTAAATCATTCATATTATACTTGTGAGCCAGGTAGGCATCGTACTACAGACTTATGGTTTGCAGGCCCAGAGAACCCACTGTCCCTATTCACCATGAGCTATTGGAGATATAAACCACGGCTTTATGTATGATAGGGGAGCAGTCTAGCACTGAGCCACATCCTAAATTCTACCAAACTGGTTCTTAAACTTCAATAGTGACCTAGGTTTTGTAATGAGTCTTTAATTTTATTTAGACTCCTTAGTTACCTTCATATGGAACTGTACAGGACAAGCTACTGTTGATGTAATCTTTCAAATCATTAACAAAAAAGAAACCATCAGCTAACTAGAAAAAAACACACATTTTACTGCCATTAAATATAACGAAAGTGCAGGTTTTAGGGTGTGCTGTGGCTATTGCTAAGACTGCGATATATGTATTACAAATCACCATTTGTACAAATCATCTCTCTAGTGGCCTGTCTGTGATGCTGACAAAGCCTTCCTCATGCATATAGCACTTTTCAAATAACAGTGTGATTGATGATGTCTCTCTACCTTACCAGCTTACAAATCTCCGGTGAAAAAAATCATGCCCAATTTTTCTTCATATTCTCAGCTACTAGTATGATCCTAAGGGCAAAGTATACACATATAAATGTTCATGGAATAAAATTAAACTAAATATAAAGTTTTCCCATTAATTAAAACAAATAAGCATTACAATAAAGGAATAGAACTCATAATCTTTAGACAAATTTTCTGTATATTGATCCAAAGTATAACTAATACTTTAAACTTTACATTTATTTTATTGAGCAAAATTTAATATAAAATATGGTTGTTATTGAAGCTAAATAAAATCAAGTTGTATTGCTAAGATATGAGGCTCAGACCTACAATAATCTTTTGTCTCCCAAATGAAGTAGCACTATTCCTAAACATATTTGCAGATTTTAAATGATTTAATATTTTAAGATTAGCAACCATAAACTTATTCAAATGTGTCTATGTTACTTAATGTCATGTAACGTACCCCAAGTTAACATTTTGTCAAACATATAAATAAGAAAAGGATAGTTGCAAGTGAAACCTGTCGCACAGTAATTAAATATGCCTGTCTCCTTCACTCATGGTTTACACAAACATATTCCATGATTTTAAACATTAATACAAGTGTCATTTAGAAATGAAAAATCAAAGATGAGTTTCTTAAAATTCAAGGACAATACAATCAAATACAAGCTTACTGTTTGATCTATAGCCTTCTGAAAAAAAAAAGGTAAATCACTTTTAATTTTATTATTTTTCTTAGTAATCTTATTTTTTTTTTCTTTTCTTTCTTTTTTTTTTTTTCCGGGACCAGGGATCTTAGTAATTTTATTAAGGAGATTTTATGGCTTTAAAGACCAAAGTAAAGGAATGAGCATTATTTGAAGGCAGTCTTGTTTTGGTCTGGGATGGGATTAAACTCAGGCCTTCACACTGACCTACCTCACCACCCCAGGTGTTTTTTTTTTTTTTAAACAAGGTCTTGCTAAGTTCCACAGGCTGGCCTCAAACTCCCCCTCCTCTTCCCCAGCCTCTTAGAGTACTGACAATACAGGTGTGTGCCCCCAGACCCAACCTGAATGCTCTCTTTTCCTTTTTTTATATTATACCTGATACCATCTTAATGATCTCCACAGTTAGTATTATCTCTGTTACACAGATGAAGCAGAGGCTTGAAGACATGAAAGTTAAGCTCAGGGCTGGGCTCTTGTGAAGACAGTCTGATTCACAACCAAACTTCAGGAAGCTAGTGTATACTCTACACTAACTTGTACGGTATTATCAGAACTACAAAATGCTCAGATTTTATGAGTATTCAAAGATATAATCAAAGAACAGCAATAATCCCAAATACATAAAACCATTAAGAAAAAGAGTAAATTGAGTGACAAAGGGTTTTAATGACCTAGAAAAGATGATACAACATAATACATGCCTCATACTCCACTTGTAATATTCATTATCTGATCTTTTCATTGATATGTTTTAAACTTTAATCTTTCCAGGATCATTTGGGTCACCTTTATCTTCTCAGGATGAACACGGGAATAGTATACAACTCTGACTTTAGGCCTTTGTTATTTAGGAGAGTACTGGGCATTAAACCTGGATCTTTTAGTGTTTCAGGCATATGAGGGAAGCCCTTTGTTACTGAGCTACTATTCTGAATCTTGAAGATAATTTTGATAAAATTTGTGAGTCATGACAATTCAAAGTAATTTATGGTCACAGAGATAGCTCAGTGGCCTAAGCAGGGCAGGTGCAAGGATCCAGCTTCAATTTGGGTACCTCATGTTGTGCTGGCCCTGCCCCAGGTGCAATGAGCTGGCCACTGAAACTGGGCGTGGTAGCTCACACCTGTAATCCCAGCACTGGGGAGGCTGAGACAGAAGTAGTCTGAGCTGTGTAGTGAGACCCTATACCAAATACATAAAATAAAATAAAGGAATTTACCTTATTCTTTTGTTGAGCATACCACAAAGTGGTTTTATAAAAAGAATCTTTTAAAAAAGTATTTTTATCTATTTATAGGTTGTAGCCATACTATATGAAAGTAAATATTTAATATCAAAATTGAAGAACATATTTTAATTCTAATCAAGGTCATATTTTTTTTCTATTCATATTGTTTTAATTTAATTTTTCTTAAAGGTTTTAAGAACAATATGTTTTCTTTGTGAAATCAAGAGGATCAATGATACTTTTCTACAATTATTTTGTCAAACTAAAGTGTTTGAATCTTCGTTTAAATTACTAAAAGTTGACTGTGTGTGGTGGTGTGCATCTGGAATCCCAGGGCTTGGGAGGCTGAAAACAGGAAAATAACTACAAGTCCAATCTGTGTAGTGACACCCTGTACACCCTGTACTAAATACATAAAAATAAAAATAAAAAAAATTACCAAAAGTAAAATAAACTGGATGCACTCAAAGTCAGTTCTGCTAGTAAAAACAGGTCTCCTGATAAAATAAAAATTAAATACACAATTATTTTTGAGTTAAAACCATTTAAATTGTAGTTTACCAGCATCATTTGCATAATAATCTCTTATTAAAAGGAAAAACAAGAAATCTTCATTATTTGACTCTTGGTATTTTCCTCCCTGCTTAATAGAACTGAGGGATATGGAGGAGGTTAACATTCCCCTCAGGGAGTGAGACTCCATGAGATAAACTCTCTTTACTTCAGCCAACAAACAGAAGAAACAGCATGTGAACCTAATTATTTTCATCAAGATGCAAATTCCTAGAGAATATTAAATTGCCTTGTTCTTAGTAAAACTTTTATATTTAATCTCAAATTACCTCACACAAATTACATATTATTTACACAAAGAACAACAGTAACTATACAGAAAAGAAACGTCCAAATTATTAAAATCAACATCACTAGTGAGGGGCCAATTATAGGACATCTTCAGAACATGATACCCCTTATGTAGTAATTCATTCAAAAGTGGACAAGCTCATTGTAATCAAGGAAAAAATCAAATAAACATAAAATTCCTGGCCTACATTATTTAGAATAACAGTTTCATGTGAGAAAAGGCTGAGAAGCTGTGTAAAGTTTATGACTGAGGAGACAAGACAGTCAAATGCAAGAAGTGATCCTCAACTGGATCATGTAGCAACAAATAGTTTCCATAAAGGAGATGATTTGAAATGAAATCAATGAAATTATAATATCAATTATAGGTAAAAGATAAGATGGCAATATTATACCGATTTAGTTTTCTTAAATTGACCATTGAACTAGGTTTATGAAAGTGGATCTCTTTGTTCTTAGATAAGATACACTAAAAAATTAAAGAATAAGTTCTTACAATTATAGAATCACTTAAGTGGTTAAAATACGTATGCTGATATGAGAAGAGGGAGAGAGTTAGAAACTTAGCAAAATGTGGTGAAATGTTAAAAACTGGCGAATCTAATCACAGTGGTACATATCTATAATCCCAGCCACTCAGTAGGCTGAGGGAGGAGAACTAGAACTTTGAAGCCAGTATGGAAAACTTAGCAAAGCTTTATCAAATTGATTTTTTTTTAAAAGAGCTGAGATAAAGATTAACATGCGAGCACTTGCTTAGCAAGTGTGAAGCCCTCGGTTCAATCCCCAGTACTGAAAAATAAAATTGATAAATTTAGAGAAATATCAAAATCCCACATATATCTTCATAACTTTGCTAAAAGTTTTAAATTATTTCAAAATTTAAAAATTAGAAATATACCTTAAAGTTAAATGCTACTGTGAAGATTTTTACTATAAATAATTAAAGACAAATTTAACAAAATGATACAAGTAGTATGAGTGCTTTGAATAGTAGCAAGTTAAGAAACTTGTACCAGAATGTAGTCCAATTATATACTTTTCTTAATCAAAAAAGTCTTTCTACAAAAAGTCAGACACAATACACTGTATATAGTGATATATTCAGGCATAAACTGGTTAACAGTTTATATACTGTAATTGCACTCTGAGTAGCAATGATCTAGTATTTTATAATAATTATCTACCTTTTACATAATCATTAAGTGAATAACTAAAATCAACTACTTAGTAAATTTCACACTTGCATCTGGAAGAACATATATCAGTTTAACTATAGATAGACAATTGATGGTGATTTTTATTTTTCTCCTTATATTTCCAAATGTTTCAACAAAGATCAGGGGTTAGTTTCATAAGAAATTTAAAAGTAAACTTTTTAAAAAGTGAAAAGAACTTTGTAGCAGACAATTTTCCTATAACTTGAGTCCCATGACATAACATTTGTCATCTTTATGTTTATATAAAGCCAAAGGTTTCCTAAAAGGATCTCACTTACAGTTGATCTTGAAGTTCCACAATGATATATTCTAACTGCTCCTTTTCCAATTTATGGGCCAGATCAGAATCTTCAATCCTTTGAAGTAGTATTTTATTCTGGGAGACAGATTCAGACAGTTGGTTCTCTCGAAGTCGTAAGAGTTCTTCAAGATAACCCTGCAAATACAGGATCACCAGGATAACAGTAGCTGTCAAATTATAATAGATATTTTGAAGATAAATGCTAAGTAGCTTAAGCAGTATTTCTATCAATATTGTAGTAAAACAATTTCAAAACATCATTGATGACTTAGTAAAAAATGTTGCTTAAATTGACTAAAACATAGCTAGGCAGTCTAATCGCTAACCTGGCAAGCTCAAGGACCCAGGTTTGATTCCTGGTACTGCATGCCTTGCTGGCCCCAGAACCCCAAATGCGCTGTGCTGGCCACTGAAACCAGGCATGATACCACACACCTGTAATCCCAGAGCTGGGAAGGCTGAGACAGGAGGATCACTAGGAGTCTGAGGTGTGTAACAAAACCCTGCACCAAATACATAGATTAATTAAAGATTTTAAAAAATTGAATAAAACATTGACATATATGCCCCATTCTTTAAACTTCTTTGCTAAAGGTTGAGAAAATATGTAAAGCAAAACATACGAGCACTGTATTTTTTGTTTTTCTTTATTGCTACATATTTTCCATAACAATCACATTCATTACAGAGAGTTTGTACCTGTACCTATTATATCTTAACTTTTTTTTCCCCCCATTTTCCTCTCCGCCCTTCAACCATTCTTCCCATTATCATTTATCAGGGCTGTTTTCCACTTTTTCCCTTCAGTTCTCTTTATGTCCCTTTTCCCCTCCTTCCCTCCTCACTCTCCCTTATTCCCTATTTCAACATGTTTTTCCTATTTCTCAATACCAATCCTATAGTTTGCTCCTTACATGCTCTGAGAAACAATGTAGCTAAACTTGTGTATATGATTTATTTCACTTAACATTATGGTCTTTAGGCAAAGCCATTTATTGACAAATGACTCAAGTTTATCCTTCTTTGTTGTATATAAATACCACATTTTCTTTATGGGCTGTCACCAGGACTTAGCTTTTATAAACTGTGCTGCTATGAAATGGGTGTGTATTTACCAATGTGGTGTGACACTTTTCAGGAAGATACCCAGAAGGGGAACACCTGGGTGAAATGGAACCTGTACTTTTATTTTTTGAGGAATCTTCTTAGTGATTTCCACAGTGGTTTGTGCTAATTTGTACTTCCACCAGCAGTGGAGAAAGGCTTTCTCCCCACATCTCACCAGCACTTATTTCTGGTTGATTTCTTCCTTTTCTTAAATAATAATATTTATTAATTTATTTTACTTAATGTTATGCCTACACATAAAATAATGATTATCTACCCTTATTCCAATTAGTCTGCTTTATCTTGTTTAAAATTTTATGAGTTTCATATTATACACATTTTAATAACACTTTGTGCTGAACTGTACTTTGTACTGGAACTGAAAATGGATATATTTTTCCTAAAGCTGCCTAGCTAATGCAGTCTATTAATTTGTTGGTCTAATGTGAACTTGCAGGGATGGTCCTGCCTCAGTCTCCTGAGTGCTGGGATTTTTAGGCATGTATCAACACATTAGACTCACAAGTTCACAAACAACATAAAGTTTTCTTCTCCTCCTCCTTCTTTTCTTTTTCCTCTTCACCTTGTCCTTTTTTTTTTTTTTTTTTTTGAGACAGATATCACTATGTAATCCAAGTTGGCTTCAAACTCATAGTGATTCCCCTGCCTTTGCCTCCAAAATGCTTGGACTACAAGTGCCAGGAATTCTTTTTTTAAAAAAAATTAATTAATTAATTTTTTGCCAACTCAGCCCACTCTGAGGGCACAGCTGGTATGGCATGTGGTGCTGGGGATTGAACCATGATCCCTTGTGCCTGCCTAAGCTTGCCTAAGCAGGAGCTTTAGACCGCTGAGCTATCTTGCTGGCCCAGGAATTCTTCTAAAGTTGGATTTGGATAAACTAGTCTTCCACAGACCAAAAGTAAAATATGCTAGGATAACTGCAGACCACAGACTAATTCTAAAGTCAAATTTCAGTGTAAATCAAGCACAGACTACAGCTAAAGCTGCATGCATATGAAATTTATATCCCTACAAATTTATACTTTGAAAACTACAAAACAAAAGTTCATGGGGCTGGGGAGATGGCTCAGTAGAATAAGCGCTTGCCTGGCAAGTGCAAGGGCCTGAGTTCAATCCCTGGTTCCAAAAACAAGAAAAAAAAGTTCATGAGGTGATCATAGCATTCCAATCAGAAATAAAGACCTGTAAAATATCATAGCATAAATTTTAAAAAGGAACCATGCATAGTGGTGTACTCCTAGTACTCAGGAGGCTGAGGCAGAAAATCACCATGAGTTTGAGGCTACTGTGGGCTGCATAGTGAGTGGAAGGCCTGCTTAGACTATTTAGTGAGACCCTGTCTCAAAGAAACAAAAATAAGGTGACAAGAATTTAGCTTAATGATGCAGCACCTGCCTGGCAAATGTGAGGTATGTAGTTCAATTCCTGGTACCCCCTCTGTTATGGTTTATGTCTAATTGTCCCTCCAAAGCCTCATGTAAATTATGGGGTGGAGGTGGCTGGAGGAGCAATGAGTGGCTTGAGGGGCGGGGCCAGAGGACCAGGGAGGGGCCCGAGGGGTGGGGCCAGAGAGGCACAAACCATTACACTGGCCAGCCTGTGCTTTCTTTGAGATGTGGAGAGGGTCATCCTGGACATGGCAGTGCCCGAGCCTCTCCTCCAGTGTCAGAACATCTTGTCAGAATAAACCTTTCCTTCCCTCATTTTGAGTGTCAGGTATTTGTCCCAGCAATGAGAGAAGAGTAACTAAAACACCTTCCAAACAAACAAACAAACAAACAAAATGAAACAACAACCACAAAAATTAGCCAGGTGTGGTGGTACATGCCTGTAATCCCAGCACTTGAGAGGCTGAGGCCAGAGGATCACTGACTTGAAGGCCAGCCTGGGCTACAAAGTAAGTTCAAGACCAGCCTGAATGGGGCCTGGGATGTAACTCAGTGGCACAAGTGCCTGCCTGGCAAGCACAAGGTCTTGAGTTTGATTCCTGATACAAGAAGAAAAAGAAAGAAAGAGAAAGAAAGGATGGATGGATGGATGGATAGGTTCAGGATGGCTTTTTAAAAAAATAATCAGTATTTCATGCACTACCATGAATAAATACAGAAATACTGACAAATTTGAAATTTTTTTAGGATGTTATTTTGTTTTTGTTTTTTTCCCATAATTTTATTGATAAATAGCAATGAGACAGTTTCAAATCAAATAGCTAGGACAGTTTTAATAATTAACACACTGCATACATTCTTCTTAGTGGTTGATTGCTGTACAAGATGCGGACTTGAGATCCTATCTACAAACACCATTAGAACAAATCATTCTATTCATTAAGAGAATGCAACTATATATCTATCCTAACCACTTTGAATACACAGATACAAAATGGACATTCATCTGTATACCCTTTTTTTTGCTAAGTTCCGTTATTTGAATATTATAGGTGTGTAAACTCAGCAAAATATTCTAAAAGAGTCCAGTAGCCCATAATAGCATTGGGTCTTCTGTTTAACTGGCAATGTCAGAAATGTTGAGCTGTGGGGGACTCAGGTCAACAAATTTGAATTTTTAAAAAAATTATAAAAATGACCTGACATAGAAAATAGGAAGAGACTAAAAATAGAGAAATTAAAAATATGTTAAAAAATTAACTCCCCACAGTGTAAAGAATAAATCCTCTCTTGAAAAATGTAATCATAATGTTACACAGTCTGCCTCACAGAATAAAAAATGATTAGTTTAATAAAATCAGCACTCTAATATCTAACCTAACAGATCAACGTACACACACACACACACACACACACACACACATTGGAGACCCCTGCAGTGAGCCCCAGTCTCTTGTAGGTGTCATGGTGTATGGACAAGAGAGAGACAAAGAGAAAGAGAGGAGGGAGGAGAGAGAGAGAGAGAGAGAGAGAGAGAGAGAGAGAGAGAGAGAGAGACAGAGAGAGAGAGAGAGAGACAGACAGACACAGATAGAGAGACAGACAGAGACAGACAGACACAGAGACAGAGACAGAGACAGAGAGACAGAGAGAAAAGAAAAGAAAGAAAAAAAGGAAAGAGACAGGTGAGTGAGACTGCCTTAGGCCTGCTGGATCCTCATTCAAGCCAGTGTCCAAGCCTGGCATGTGAGTGGAACTTCCTCCATCAGACAGGTCTGGGGTGGAACCCTGCGGCAGAACTCCCTGCATAGAGTTTAGAGGCAAGACCTACCCAGCTAATACAGGAGCATAACATCTTATCAGAATGGCACAGCAGGTTCACCTCCAAGAGCTGCAGCAGGAAGAAGTGGAACACAGCAGCCAGACTCACCTGGATGAGTTTGAACTTGGTAGATCCAGACCTGGTGCTAAGGTAATAACTCTATTAAAGCTCTGTACCAAATATCAGAAGACAGTGCTATAGAAAATGATGAAAAGGAGCAAAATGCATTTTCAGTCCTGAAGCCCACCCAGAACAAATGTAGGAGACAATAGCATAGAAGAAATTAGAAAGCACACATCAGAAATCTCTGAAATAATAGCATCTAAAGTAAAGAAACAACTGCAGAAAGGTACAGAGGAAATCTGATCAGAAATAATTTCTGAAGTAAAAAAAAATAACTATAATGAAAGAAGTACTAAGTGCTTCTAAAGAAGACACTGATAAACAATAGAGGAGAATAAAAAAATGATGGAATCCTTGAATGACCATATAGGAAAGAATTAGAATGCATAAAGCAGATTCAAAGTGAAATACAGGAAATTAAAACCTCAATCACAAGCTGGCAAAACCATTTCAATGAAAGTGAAAATAGACTTTCAGACCTTGAAGACACCATTGCAGCTAGTGAAAAAGTAAGAAAAGATCTCTTAAAAACAACTAGGATGCAGGAAAACATAATTAAACATCTGCAAGACAATGCAAAGATGAACAATGTAAGACTAATAGGCAACAACGAGAAAGGAGTCAATACAAATGATATAAAAATAGTATGGACAGAAGTAATAGTAGAAAAC